GGGGGCGGGCGCGGGCGGCGGGGCGGGGCGCGGCGCGTGGCAGCTGCGCCTGTTGCTGGGCGGCGCCAACGCGGCCTACACGCGCCGACACACTCTCGCCGCCATCGCCACTGCTATACACAAGTACTTACACACTCACTGCCTTATCTTTTTAAGGGGGAAAATCATCCAATGACGCCTCCCGCCTTGGGTGAGATGAGAAGGAGTGTCAGACTCTTACCGACTAAAAACCACACCGTTTTTCCTCCCACTTTGAACTGTAACTCCGGTAACCCATTAAGTTGCTCGCAGCTCCGGTAAATATTAACATTATTTTTTGTTTAGGGGAATGATCTCGCAACACTTGGTTTACATAAACCGCATCATCGCTTACCACTAGGCGAGCTCAAACGTCAGCTCATCAAATATATAAAAACATATATATTATACACTTTATGCATTTTTGCATGAATACATTGCGATAAAATGTGAAATGTGGTGATAAAAACATATTTCCTTATAATTAGTTCACTTACCTGACCCGCTCTAGCTTCGCACGGCTGCAAATGCATGTATTATACATATAAACCTTGCTTAAAAATCACTATCTATTAAAAAAACTGCATCAAAATCCGTTGCGTAGTTTTAAAGATCTAAGTATACATAGGGACACACAGACGGTGGATAGCGACTTTGTTTTATACTATGTAGTGATACTAGTTTATCATACATCATACAAAAGTGAGAAGCCTTTAACGCCAAGAACCATACACAATGTTTCTGATGGATGCAAATACAACTGACCACAATAAATAGTTTTCAATAAAAATGAAGTTCCCATATTCTTACACTATACAAATTAACTTTTTCAAAAACAATTAAAATATTACATAACATAACATCACGCCTTTTATCCCCGAAAGGGTAGCAGAGGTGCACATTATACCACTGTGCAATGTAACACCCACTTTTCACTATTTATATTATGAGTCCCATGTAATAGGGGGTGAGCCTATTGCAAAATACCGGGCACAATTCCAGACTCCGTGCTACTACTGAGAATATTTAAAAACCCAATAATACTTTGCCCGACTTTGGAAATCGACCCCAGACCCCTTGGCCGGCAGTAGCACTTACGACCACTCGGCCAAAGAGGCAGGCAAGAGCATTAAAATATTATATGGTGAATATATAATCACCATATTCGTTACATTTCAGCTTCGGTTTCCCCAAGCAGAATCAAGCTCTGCAGGCGACGAAGGAAGCTCTCAGTACATTGGAGAGTACTATCGCTGAGACGTACTTGGAACACAAAGGAGATCCGTTAGTCGGCACTATAGAGCCCAGCATGGACATGGGACGACATAAGACTGATGCCGACGCCATTGTTGACGATGCTAGGCCCTACGTCTATGAAATCATCAATAATCTTATTGCTGTTCACGCTGAGGTAACATTTAAATTAATGTCTTATGTCTTAATACTCAAAAGCCATTCAATTTATGACATGCTTAAGTATAGTTCTGTCTCTACAAATTATTTGTAATATGACAGAGATGGCACGATATTTAAGAACAACTTATAATTGAGTAGCCTTTCAGTATTCGAGCGTTAACGTTCAAGTTCATTTATTGTTTGTCTAATACGATGTCGTATTCTGTTTATGACCGAAATTCAGTCACTACTGTGGCGTACAATTACTTTATCCAATTAGTTTTATCACTTCTTAAATCATAACACCATCTTTTCACAATATTTTATTCAACGTTTAAAACCAGTTCACGATTCAAAGGGTAATCGAACCCTCTGAAAAAATATTTTAGTTCTCAAAACGTAACTAGATGGCGTTGGGATCGAGATAGATCGCGCTATCGTTTGCTGCACGGCGTTTGGTTAGGTCGGCGGAGCGCGCCAGTCGAGTCAACTTTGCGCAGAGGCAATATCGTAACCAATGAGGTTAATCCGAGGTGCGATTATTGCTAGTTGAAAACTTTACCAATACCCCGCCGTGTGGACGTGAAATACCGTCCGCGATGGCAATTTTTGAATGGCCGTAACTGGCCTAAGATTTACTTGACATTCTCTTGTATAGAGTTTGGAGTCAAACAGTTAAATAGTTAAACTCATTCTCTCTATTTTGTTAATGCGCTTGTTTATATAACTTTAAACTTTGAACATTTGACAATTCTTCCATACTAGAACCTGTCAACTGTCAATTTTATTCTACAGTCTACCGCTTATACCACGGGGAGTGCTGTAAGGAATTGATTGACCTGATACCTGCCGTATCTTTTCGCCATCGACCCTCAAGACAGAATATACATCCCCACCATATAGATGGTTGGCAGGCCACAACTGTACGCTTCTCACGATGCTTTCTGCCTCGCACAGCAAAACTGTGGAATGATCTGTCGTCGGCGGTATTTCTGAACTAATACGACCTCCAAACCTTCAAGAAAAGAGCGTATTCCTTTTTCAAAGGCCGGCAACGCACCTGTGACTCCTCTGGTGTTGCGGGTGTCCATGGGCGGCACTGATCGCTTACCATCAGGTGATCCGTCTGCTCGTTTGCCTCCTATACCATAAAAAAAGTTAAAAATTAACTGAAGATTAAAAAATCGGCCCATAAACGACTTTAATTTTTGCCCAGTGAGGTGTATTATTTACCCGAAATATAAATGTTTTCCAGGTGGACAGTGTGAGCGGCGCGGCGTCCTCGCGCTACGTGCGAGATATTTGTGAGACGGTGTGTGAGGAGCTGGCGCGGCTGGCGGCGCTGGTGTCGCCGGGCGCGCCGATGTCGCCGGCCGCCGCCTTCCAAGCTCGCCTCGAGTACACACTGCTACGCCTCGCCTGCGCTGAGCATCTCACCAGAAAGGCTGAGTTAGTAAACGTTTCTTTAATCAAATAAAATACAATTTTCTGCTCATAACATAACATAACATAACATGACGCCTTTTATCCACGAAGGGGTAGGCAGAGGTGCACATTATACCACTGTAATTGTACAGCTGTTTGGTAACAGCCACTTTTCACCATTTATGTTATAAGTCTCATGTAATAGGGGGTGAGCCTATTGCCATATACCGGGCACAATTCCAGACTGAGAATTAAAAAAAAAAACAGAAATACTCGCCGACCCGAACCCGAGACTGCCGGTAAGAAGGGCAGTCGCACTTGCGACCACTCGGCCAACGAGGCAGTCTTTCTGCTCACTTTTCTAAAATCTAAAAATATCGGAAATACCTAGTTCGTATATAAAATATATGGATGACTATATTATGTGATATGTACCTATAAAAAAGTAAAAAAAGTGCTGTACATGTAAAAATTCGAAATAGAATTTCTCATTCATTCCTTTGGCTTTACTCTGAACACAGCAAATAGCTTTAGAGTTTAACAGTTTGACTCTTCGATCAACAATAACAACTAGATAAAGGGTTACGTACAAAATCAAGCTCCAGTTCTGTCCGTGTGAATAATAATAGTAAAAAAATAACAAACAGAGAAAAATGTTTTAAAATAGTTTTAAGTTCAACCTAATAACAACCATGGCACCTAATAATAAAGTCATAAATCGTCAAAATATTATCTAATACTTACGACCATTCGTCATATAAGACAAGAAAAGTATTTTCTTACTCCTGTCATGTAGAAATTAAAAGACATAAGTTATACAATATCTAGTTTGAATTCAACCTTAAGGTCGAACAAATAAAGATAATTTTTCCATTATTGTCTTGCGATCTATATCGTTTTGTTTTGTTTCGTTTTGCTTCTTCAAATTTCGAATTTCGCTACAGGAGGTATGTATGGAGTCGCGTTGGACACTAAAATAATTTTATAATATGAAAATTAACATTTCGGGATCTTAGTATACATCACTAATTTTTATTAGCGGTACGTTTTTGTGTATGATATGTTTATTTACTTTATCGTTAAAAGTCTAAGTCTAAGTCAAAATTATTTATTTCAGTTATACCAGGAAGGCACTTTTGAACAACAACAATATAAATTTAAAAGTGAAGCTATTTGCTCATTCCAAGGTGTAGATTCCTATGGAGAAGAACGAGCAAGAAACGATACAATTTCTTATTTTTTCAATACAAATCGACTCCATGCATCCACTGTTCTGTTTATACAAATGTTGGCGAGACTTGGCCAAGGAATCGCCAACACACGCACAAACATTGGTGGCGTTGGTTTATAATTGATAATTTTGTCTAATTTGATATTATTTACTAGTTTAAAAGCTTAAAATATAACTTATACTTTATGTACTTATCAAAAGTAAGACACTCCGGCCGTTATACTGCTTTTTCGGTTGTTATTTTTGCAACTTGCAATTACTCGTGAGACGTCAGTACGTTGGCCGTGTTTGGAGCATACTAAACAAAATAAGAGCTCACTTCTCAAGTGAGCTCTTATTTGTCGAGACGATTTTCTTGCGCTGACCCGATATCTAGTTGTTATTGTTGATCGAAGGTTTGACTATTCAAAATATCTTTTTAGTAACGGACCTAGGTGTATGACATCTCTGTTTTAAAATGATGAAGAATGTGAGTATGTATTCTTAAATATTTTTGGTTCATTAATAATTTTAAATTCCAGAAACCACTTGATGGAAGCGCTAGCTGGTATTCCTCCCATAGAAAGCGAAGAAGAAAAGAAGTAGGTGTAAAAATTGAATATTTAAATTAATTCATTATTGAATATCTTTCATGTCGTTGATGTTGTGGCGGCTCATATTAAAAGATAGGAATATTATTGATATTTTTAAGCTTATTTTCTTTTTCGACGTCTTTGACTGGACTTTGGTGTTACATTCTTCTCAGACCGCTGAACCAACAAAAGAATGTAACTAGAGATTGTATTGTAAACCCGATTGAAAAAGAGTAACTTGTGGAATTTCTTGCTCGTTCTTCTCCATCCATAGGAATCTACACATTGGAATGAGAAAATAGCTTCATTTTTAATTTTTTTAATGACATTCAAAAGCACCTTCCTGATCTAATTGAAATAAATGATTTTGACTTTGACTTTGAAAAGAAGTATAAAAATACTGACATACAAAATACGATTCTGACTCCGATTCTGTCTATCAGATGCCATTTTTAACAGTCCAAAAGATAGACACGTAATATGAGTCCTCGATAGTAAATCAAACTCTGTCTTACAGTGTTTTCACTTCCAAAATGTAGAAATAAGTATTTACACCTACTTGTCCTTATGTCACAGACGAATGGACACAATAGTGCAAGGGTTCAAGAAGAGAATGGAGCTTCAGCTCGCCAGCCTGAATTGCAACATGGAGACTGTGTAACGTATAACGTATACATATATACTAAGTATAGTTGCATCTAGACTAGATACTTATATAGTACTGTATTTGTATAGTAATTATCTTAATAAATATTGAGTTTAATTAATATTTACACACATTCATTTAAACATATTCATCGCCCTTACAAATCATGATTATGAGTCCCGGTCTGCCTCGAAACTATTCGAGCGTCCTCGAATATGTTTAACGTGAGTAAATGTTATTTAAATTATGTGATGTGTATATTGGTAGTTAGATTGATGTATGTAATTATATATTTGGTTGAAAACCAAAAGCTTTAAAAGTATTGATATTTTATAATTATGGATTAATATTATTGATTTCGTGCTATTTTATAATCATTTGTTTGTAAATGTGCCTGCTAGGTCGCAAGACTTAAAAATGGAACTGTACGAGATTTATAGAAGGTGTTGCAAAATAAACGCATGATCTTGCAGGTGCTGGTTCAGCCCGTTACAGTTAACAACTTTAGTTCCAAGATTTTTCGATATTCAAATTCAAAATGTAACTTTAGAATTCCCAAAAGTTCTAAAACAAATAATGTTCGTTTGTAGCTGTAAACAGCATCGAATAGGTGTTGCGTATATTTTTACACTTATAAAATAATAATAGAAATGTAAATTATATAAAACCGCTCGTTTATATCTTTATTAGATGTTTATTAACTATTTAAAAGCGTAGTTTAAGATAAAATATTAATATTATAAAGTAAGTTAATATTAAAAATTATTTAAAAATATTAAAATATATCGTGTATATAATTAAACAGCTGTAGACTCTTTCATTTCATCCCTGGCCTGCTTGTTCTGGTAACTCTGTAACAAGAAGTAATAAATAAAGATATTTCATTATCATTCTGGATAAAAAAACATATAACACATATTTGTATAGTGACTTTATTTATTTATGTATGTATTATATCAGTAATACATAGTACGGACCTAGTATTTTCCCGGAAATTATATTTTATATTTTAAACTTGCCCCATTTGTTTGTTCTTTTAAAGTTGTAATTTTACCACCTTCTTGATGACAGATCTATCTGATATTTTGGTACACATTTCATTATGGATATCAGACGTAAGATCTTGATAGAAAGGTCATTAACATCATTTAACATATTTTTTATGTATAAGTTGTTATACTATGATCTCTAGATTACCTGTGCAGCTAGTTTGTGCAAATGCGATGCCATGGACGGTCCGGTCTCAGACACCATCTTACGGAAGTAGCCTCGCTTGTTCTGCAGCAGTAAATATGGATGGTCGTACTCCATCAGACGGCCTGCGTCTAGTACCAATATCTGGGAAATTTGATTAACATACAGCATACAGAGTCGCGATGTCACGTCTGACTAGAATATAGATACTAAGAATTTGGAGAGCCATGCTTCGCCACGAATGGGCCGGCTTGACCGGAGACCACGGCTGAGCAGAAAATCGACGTGAAACAACGCTTGCGTTATATTTCGTCGTGTGAGAAGTTACCGGAGGCCCTATTACCTCCCTCCCCAATCCCTGAAGGCCTGAATTCCCAACAACCCTCAAATTCCTAATCCCTAAAGGGTCGGTAACGCACTTGTAACCTCTGGTGTTACGGGTGTCCATGGGCGTCACTGATTGCTTGCCATCAGGTGATCCGTCTGCTCCTTTACCAGCTTATCCCATAAAAAAATATATAAAATAGTTGCAAAAGTATAGCAATCTTTGGATTACTTGCGTCGGATAGTTAAACTGATTCTTTAATTAATTTGTTTGTCTTATTCTTATGTGTTTTACCAGTGTCAAAATATCTGGACATCATTATAAACAGATCAATGGTTTAACTCGTCGAGTACCGGTTTTGTAGACACAATTATAGAACAATAGGTTGCGGTCACCGGTGACCGCTTGGTGTTTGACAGTTTAATATTGATAGCAATGCAAACCAGACATAGTTACGTTCACATTTACATATTTTTATTTTACTAGAGATTCATGAATTCTTCTCACAAATTCTCAACCCCTATTACATAGGACTCATAACATAAATACCTAGTGAAAAGTGGGTGTTACATTTAACAGTGGCATTAATTGTCGTAATGTGCACCTCTGCCTACCCCTTCGGGGTTAAAAGGCGTGATGTTATGTATGTTATGTCATGAATTCTTTCTACTTACCTTATCCGAATCTATTATAGTATTCAGCCTATGTGCTATAGTAAGCACGGTGCAACTGTTGAAGTGCGATCTGATGGCCGTCTGTATGAGCTGGTCTGTCTGCGCGTCCACGTTGGCTGTAGCCTCGTCCAATACTAGGATCCTATCATTGTGGACTATAGCTCTTGCTAGGCACACCAACTGCCGCTGTCCTACACTGAAGTTTGATCCTCCTTCCGATACTTCTTTGTATAGAGGACCTGAGAAATAATGTCATATTCAGATCTTTAAAAAACTTTATTTTTCACTTCAATAAATACACAATAAGTTCTGAAATACAGAATTATAGATTAAAACTATTTAATTACATAGAGATCACCTATTATTATAGTTCCCTATTTCGATATTTTTTGCATTACATTATTATTTTGCTAAATCCTTCGGGGATTGACGGCGTGGCGTGAGATTCTTCATCAATGGAATGGTAAAAAAAAATATTCAGTAGTTTAACGTTGCTATTACTATCGATCGAGCCCTGCTAATACTTATCTTATTTTAACAAACAATAGCTGTAATAAAACTACCCACATGAACCGCTTTGTGTCTTGGTGAAATCATAAAAACTGCGTTGAGATATAAATTTAAATTATATTTGAGTAGAATTTAACTAAACTTTTCAAGTAAATCTTAGGCCAGTTACGGCCATTCAAAAATTGCCATCGCGGACGGTATTTCACGTCCACACGGCGGGGTATTGGTAAAGTTTTCAACTAGCAATAATCGCACCTCGGATTAACCTCATTGGTTACGATATTGCCTCTGCGCAAAGTTGACTCGACTGGCGCGCTCCGCCGACCTAACCAAACGCCGTGCAGCAAACGATAGCGCGATCTATCTCGATCCCAACGCCATCTAGTTACGTTTTGAGAACTAAATTTTTTTATGAGTCAGACAGAGAGTGACGCGCCTCGACGATTTCTATAGCAATGACTAACCGGTATCTTTTGTGTAGAGTAGACTTTATGAAATAGGCGCGAGGGGAGCATTTCAGAAAATCGTTGTGTGCTGTATTCATTGAAGGAACCCTTATTTATGTACCGCATTGCAAGATATTATAAGTTGGACAATGGACTAGTACTTTTTGCATACCGAAATTTTAATGAAATAATCATTAACTAAGTTGGCTTTTCATAATGACCTATTTTTAGGGCATGCACAACGTCTCAACAACAATATTTTGATAATAAATTCCTACGGAATTAACGTCATTATGTATTTAAAGATAACTGATAAAGTGCCCACTTATTTTTAAATAATCTATTATGTCATAATAAACTATGTACTAACTTTCGCCTCCCTCTTCTTGAAGCTCCACATTGTTCAAAGCTGTTATCAATACTGAATCAGGATATTGATCGAAAGGATCCAAGTTCTTTCTAATAGTACCGCTGAACAATACTGGCTCCTACAATGAGAACCATAATAATACGTTAAATAAGTACACTGCATTAACACTCCACGATCTATCTAAATCTGTTGAGTAATTTTGTGTGTGGTATGCTAACAAACATTATCTCTAAATTAAATGTGAAAGGCCATAGTAGTGAAATAGATGTGGGATAGGATTTATTGAAAACTAGATTCTGCCAGCGGTGTCGCTCGCGTCCCGTGGGTAAAGAAGTAGTCCGTCTGTAGAAGAAAGAAGTGTGTGAAGAAATTTGATACAGAGGTAAATTATGGTCTAAAATAGATGATAATTTTCCTTTTGTTTCAAATTTCATGTTATTGAGTACCTAACAAACAAACACATAAATCCATAAACTATTTATTTGTACTAGATATTAGTATGATTTCAGTGTTGATGAAGTGAAAGAGGTATATCCGACAGAGAACCAAAGTCATCGACATAGCCCAAAGGATCAGTAAGCTGAAGTGGCAGTGCGCCGGTCACATTTGTCGAAGAACCGATAACGGTTGGGATAAACGTGTTCTAGAGTGGAGACCGCGTCTAGGTAAACGTAGTGTAAGGCGCCCTCCAGCTAGGTGGAGTGACGACATCCGCAAGGTGGCTGGCAGTGGAGAGGCATATATAGAATAGAATATAGAAGATATAAGAATATAGAAAGGAAAGAGGTATATAAGAATCGTAGCCATTGGCTTTTTATAGTCTCTGCCTACCCCCATGGGAGACAGGCGTGAGGTTATATATGTATTGTCAATGAAACTTAAGACAGTTATCTCTATTAAAATATATCTCACTTGTGGAATAATAGATAACTTCTCTCTTAAGTCGTGTAGTCCAATTGTAGTAATGTCTATTCCGTCGATCGTGATGGTGCCTTCTAAATATGCCAGTCTGAACAAAGCCTGGATTATGGACGACTTGCCTGCGCCCGTTCTACCAACGATTCCGATCTAAAATTGTAAATAATAGATGTGTTATATAAAATCGCTTCACAATAAGATCATACTACTATAAAGGGTTAAACATGGCGCCACATGACGCCGATATGGAACTGAAAGAACCATCAGACCACCTCAGACGGGGGGGCCTACTAAGTGGTCCATGGCTTCGAGCCACACCTTCGGTAACTCCTGCTTCAAAGCGAAGCAGAAGTTCGAACGGAGTGGTATTTAGTCAATAAGAGTCGGACCCTCCGTCTTAACTCACCCCGATCGAGAGGAGTCATTTGATGATTTACTTAAAATCGAAACTGCGTTGGTGCTTACTTAATAAATCTACTTACCAAAAAACAAAATAAAATTAACTAATCAAATCATGAATCATGCATAAAAAAAGGCGGATCAAATGACCTCATGAATCAACAAAACTTATTTAAATAATCTATGCGGACCAAGTTTCGAGCAGAAGCTGACTACTGACTGAATAAACGTAAACGAGATATTTAGCTGATATAGAAAATTATTACTGACTGCCTCGTTGGCCGAGTGGTCGCATGTGCGACTGCCGGGCAAGGGGTCTCAGGTTCGATTCCCGGGTCGGGCAAATAATTACTAGGTTTTTAAAAATCTTAGTAGTAGCACTGAGTCTGGAAATGTGCCCGGTATATGCAATAGGCTCACCCCCTTATTACATGGGACTCATAACATAAATAGTGAAAAGTGGGTGTTACATTGTACAGTAGCATTAAGTGCCACTAATGTGCACCTCTGCCTACCCCTTCCTGGATAAATAGGCATGATGTCATGTTATGTTAGAAAATTATTATAAAGTTAATAGTTTATGGTGCGAAGTACTTAATACTAACCTTTTCTTGTGGTTGTATATTTAACTGCAACCTATGCAATACATAATTGCCATCCTGGACGTACTTTAAACTCAAGTTGTCAAATATTATTGCTCCTTCCGCCGGCCAGTCTGCTGGGGGTTTTTTGTCTGATGGCTGTAAGCAATATTTACCTAATAATTACATTACTGAAACACTTTATACCATATAACCGTTCTTAATGTATTAGAGCTTTGTGAAGAAAAAACTGTCACTCCATCTAAAATTCAGTCGAAACTGTAATTTGGCTGTAGTTGAAAACTA